AACGGCCCGCCCCCCCCGAACCGCCCCCGCCCAAGCAGCAGCCTCGGAGCTTTGCGACAAAAGCGGCTTCTTTAGCGGCCGTTTCTCCCTTATAAAGCAGGCCTGTGGCCCCAAGGGCTCACGCACGAAGCCTGTGCAGGACGTTCATTAAAAAAACAAAAAATCAGGAGTTTAAAAGCTGCTGCTTTGCCCCAAAGTAGCTCTGAAAAAGTTCAGCTGGGGGCCTGGCACCACCCCCGGGCTCCCGCCCCTCTGCTGAATGTATAAAAGCTCAGAGGGAGGAAAAAGGCAGCAATTTCAGCAAAGCTTTAACTCCCCCTCTAGCTTTCCATAGCACTAAATACAGCCCCTTGTCCCCTTCTGCCCTGGGGACACTTGTGGCCTCCAGACAGTCCCCAGAACCCAGGATAGCAAAAACAGGGCAACCTCTGGACCAAGCAAACCCATCCCCACCTACAAATCCAGAGATATTTCAGGTAGTTTAAGAGTTCTATAAACCTCACTGTTATGGGAAACCACAGGAGTTCAAGTATTTTATTACTGCAAACGCAAACTCTATATTTTTATATAGGTATATACAGAGGAGAGGGTTTTGGCAATGCTAGGGGAATTTACAGAGCGAGGCAGGGAGGCAGCTGAGGCGCCACCGTCACCTTCCCCAAGGTTGTGCCCATCGCCGTGGCCTCAGGCCTGCAGCAGGACCCAGCACTAAAACACTCACTGCCAAAAACGATCATGGAGAAAGGGGCAGTGCCATCCAGAGACATCCTGACTGACACTAAAGACTTGAAGGTGACATGGAAGGTTCCTGTTCATCAGCATGTCCCTAATTAAAGGGCTAGGAGAAGCTCAGGGCTTCTGTGGGGACTGTTAGGCATAGGCTTTAAATCCAACTTAAAACAAAAAAACCTGCCACTTTTCTAAAGCAAAATAGGGCCTTTTTTCTCTTTCGTACCTTTATTTTTATTGCCCATTCATCATGTTAGTGGAAATTAGTACAGGTTTCTCATTTAGCAACTCAGAAGTACTCATTTAAAACCATTAATTTAAACTCCAAGTCCACAGAGCACAGCTTAGTGTCAGTCAGCATGGAAGCAGGAGGCTGAGCGTTATTACACATCAAGAAACATACACGTGCATAAACATGTTTACAATATCTTTATCTTCCTCCCAAAAAGGACATTGAGACCTTGTTCACTTAAGTGGATTAACACTCTCCAGCCCGCACAAAGTGGGTTTAAATAAACTGGCCAGGGTTTCTTGCTCTGACAGTGGCACTTTTTGCTTCGGCTCTTCACGTTTGCAAGGACAACGGGGGACAACGTTGTTCGGGCTCCGCGTGGAAGCCAAAGTGTCTCCCAAGTGCTCTGCTTCCCGGGGGGTCTAACTGCAGGATCCGCTCGCGACGAGGGCCGGAGCGAGGGGACGACGGCGCGAGGCGCTCGGCCCCGGGCGCTTTGGTAGAGGTATTTGGAGTTTTACATTCCGTGTTTCCGCAGCGCGTTGGCCTTACCCGGGGCTGCTCGCCGGGGTCGCCGCTCGGCGCAAGGGGAACCGCGACGGCAGCTTCGCTTCGGCCAGCGGCTCCGCGCGTCTGGAAGCCCCGAGGAAGCCAAAGCTACTTGGGAGGCAAAGGTGCAGGTCGGGAAGGGAAATACGGTCCCTGAGGTAAACATTTTTGCTGGGCCGGCGGTCCCTGAGGTGCACATTTCTGCTGCGGAGGAGGCGGCCTGCAAGAGGGACAGGGGACAGCTCAGGAAAGAGCATTTCAGCTCCCAAGTCACAAAGGAAGGAAAATAATCTCCTTTCAGCACAGGATCAGGCCTGCTCACTATTGCTCGTGGAGAGGTTGTCATTGCCTTTGTCTAAGGGACCAAAACAGCTACAAAAATGTTATTTAGAGAATTCAACAAACCTTGTGGGCAGCTTCTGGGGCTGTGGGGCCTGGTAGTGGGGTGACGGGTGGTAGGACTGGTGGTAGTAGTAGGCTTGCTGACCGTGCTGGCTAGCTGGGTAAGATGGCACAGGAAACGTGTTTGGCTCCATATCCTGAGAAGAAAACAGGAGGAATATTCACAAGGTTGCACAGAGGGGATTGTAGTAACACCCGCTTCACTAACCGGGTGACATTTAAGACTAATCACAAGCAGTGTGTGTCACCACTGCTCCTGCCTTCTAAGGCCCTGCTTCACTAACCGGGTGACATTTAAGACCAATCACAAGCAGTGTGTAAGTGTCACTGCTGCTCCTGCCTTCTAAGGCCCCCAGAAGGAGGAAGCAACAGTAATTTGGAAAGAACTGCATTTTGGAGAAGCAAAAGATGCAGCAAAGAGAAGCTGATTCCTACCATGGGGGCGTTTCTTGAACCATGAGACACTCCTTGTGAAAAGCCCCTGGGCTGGTAGGCTCTGGGTTCAGCTTCTGTTCGCGGAGGTGGCGACTGGAAGGACCTGAAATTCAGCAGAGCCCGGCAGTGAGCAGATAACCTCTCCAAGCAGGCTACAAATCCAAACCTTGTTTGTTAGATGGATTTAGAAGAGCTTTTTAGCAAATACCACACCTCAGGAGGACAGTATATGCAGCCACATAATCCTTTTTCTGTTTAGGGCTGTATCACACCTTTATTTGTTGCTTTGTACCAAAGCTGGGACCCCAGAACCATCAAACCAATCAAGGCACGGAACAGGTATAAAGGCAAAAAGTTCTCTGAATTTTCTCCATATAAAAAGGTTATTTTCTGTGGCATTCCCAGAACAACCTTCCCTTGATGCAGATTTACTTATCTTGGGACTAAAATGGGCCTCCACGCTTTGGAATTGGCTTGTATAAAGAAATGCCTATGGACTCCTTCCAAAGGGCAAAGAGGGGGTGAAGGAGGGGAATATCCTTACGAATGACAGCGTGACATCAGCCTCCTAAACCATCTCTTCAGCTTATCCCTCTTTGCAAACGCCAGAACAGCAGCTCCGAGGAGCGGGAGGATCAGGAAAAAGAAAACGAGCAGCCCGTTCCTCAGTGAGGTGTCTTTGTCTGGTGGGGATAGGAGGAGAGAGAAGAAAAGAGATTATTAAATGGTGTTACCATCACTCAGCTCATGAAGCAGTGGGTTTTTACAGGAGGATTGATTCTATCATTATTTTACCTTCTTCATGGCAGAAAAAAAAAGAATCGAGTAAAGGTATTTGGGCATATATATTGCAACCTGAAACACTGAAAAATGTTTGGACACGACCAAAGATCACAGAAGGGCCTAATCCTTTTCCTCAGACACCTTCATACTCCTCATATGCCTTCACAAACTGCACAGAGATACTAGAATAGGGCTCATTTCTGCCCCCACTGCACAAAAGAGCATCGCCATATCGAGCTGAATCTACGACCTCAGCCAAATTTCATGTTCTGATGGGATCTAAAATTGGAACAGGGTCCAATTTACAGCTTGGATACAAAGTCCAAGATGGTTTTGGCCCAAGGTGGCAGAACTCACCTGAGGGCAAATCAAACAGCTAAACTGCATTAGTCTCCAGCATCCCAGAAGGAAGGCCTTGTGCTGCCCCTCACACCCCAAACCTTAACCAGAGCCCAAACCTTAACCAGATTTGTTTGCAAATGGAACCTGCTGAAAACCTAAATCGCCAGCGCTTCTGCCACCAGAATTGAGCTGCTTCCAGGCTTTCTGCAGAGGTCCAAGGCTGGAAGTTGCCTGGGTTCTACTTGCCGTTGTAAGGGGGGCCACTGTCGATGCTCCCTCCGTAGCCTTTCGTGTCGCAGTGAGGAGGGGCCCAGCCTGCTTCACAGTGACAGTTGCCGTTTTTATTGCACACCTAGGAAAGAAAAGCATGAGAACAAGCCCCATAGTGCAGCACCTCCCCACACTGAGAGCACAGAAGCATCCTAAGGTGCCTGCAAAGGCTACAGCCTTGAAATTGGAGCTGTAAAAAAGGGAAAATTCACTGCTATAGGAGGTATATGTTCATTTTGCAGGTGAATATCTAAAAAGGCAATAAGTTGTCACAGCTTTTAAAGCATAAGGCAATAGCCAGGGCTGTCCTGTCCCTTCCATGTCACTCAGTCTGGTGACCTTTAACCACCCACTCCCCTGTCAAATCTAAATAACCAGCCCTGGGGCAGCACAAACCCTGTCTCTCCACAAGAATTCCTGGGATTGAGCAACCCCAGGGATTGTTCTGGGTGCGTTTCCAAAGATTATTCATCCTGACTGCTGAAAGAGCAGGGCTGCTGCTTTTGTGAGCTGCAGAGTGTCATATTACATCAGCTAGACAAAAAAAATATCAGGAATTGCTTTGGAAAAATACATTATTTCATAGCTTTCAACAAAAAGATCTTTTAATAATGTTATAAGCTGTCTGTGCAGAGCCAGTTTGTAAAGACAGTTTTGCCAAAGTTAAACAAGCCAGAAAAATAAAGTTGTTATTGACAATTATAAAACTTACTAGACAAACTATGCAGTCTGAGCATTTACTCCCTATTAAAGGTAGTTTTCCTCATTAACAGGATTAAAAAACCACTTATTACAGCAAAACCAATTCCCCTGAACCCCACAGATTCTCTCTCACCAGATACCTAGTGACAATTATTTTATTTTGCATTAGTTATAGCCCATAAGCAGAAAAGTACAACAGGCTTCATAGGTGCAAAAGAGATTATCATTTCAACATGACTGATAGAGCACAATTAAAGTGCAACAGGTTCACAGCCTGGCCTTTGATATAAAAAAAGTCACTATATATTTGCACATACTCTACAAAAAAAATCTAGTGTTCTTATAACAAAGACCTCACAGAAGAGGACATTGAGCAGGTAGAAACATTGCCAAAGTCATAGCAGAATTAACACTTCAATGGGAATATCGGGAATATCTTACCCCATGTCCATGGCATTTTCTTTGTACATCACAGTCATAGTTCAGGACAGAGGCACTCACACACTGGAAATGCCTACAGATCTAAGGGAATTAAGGAAAAGACACACCTTAGTTTGCTCTGAGAGAATGTTTAGTTTTTTTTGCTTCTATAAATCAAAGACTTCACATTTTATCTGCACACGCACAACAAGGCAGCATGTGGAACTAGTGGAATTTTGCATTAACTACATGCATCAAAAAGTTACTGCCCAGAGACGTTCATGAAACAAAGCTGACAATTAATATTCACGTGTAAAACTTTAACTATTGCTTGAAGAATTCACTATTGACCTGTTGCTAACTACCTTTCCGGTATCACATTTGGTGCCTTCATTCACCATTCCTGGATCAGGGACATCAGAGCCTAGCTGGAAATCCACACCCCAGCACATGGTGTTTCCGACAGGAGTTTGGATAATGGCAGGTTTAATTCCAAAAACAGGCATTGTCTGCACATTTTTACATTGCAGCTTCCCACACATGGCATTCCTACAACACCAACATGTGAATGGTGTAAAGACACTTGCATTCATTCAGAAAAAGACTTTTTAAACACACTTGATACAATCTTTTCTCCCTACTGGGAGATTATCGACATTACTTAAGAGCAAAATTGAGGTTAACTTAAACACAACAGAGCTGGTCAGCATTTCAGTGCTGCAAGAACATGGGTTTAGCCCTTCACAAATACTTTTTGTGATGCTCTTTATATATTAAAGAAAACATAACCAATTTGACATTCTGTAGACCCTGTGATGAGAAAAATCAACTACTACTTGCAAGATAAGTCAGATAATATGTATATTTAAAAAAAACACACAAAAGCTTACAAATGCAAAAGCGTGAGGGCTTGGAATAATTAAATTAAGAGTTTTTAAGCCATCTCACTTTGGATCCAATTGGCACATACTTTGAAAATGAGGGTAGATTATGGGATAAGGTGTCTCTCCCCAGTACACTTGTTATAAAGTCCCAAACTATAGCACTTGAATAAAAGGATTCTTAAAATACTGCATGATACATTTAAGAACTACTTGATGCATCAGGCTCAACTTACCAGCTGGAACATTTCTTGTAGTCGTGGCCATGGAAGCCACAGTTGCCAAACCTGTCACCCTTGGAATTCACATCCACAAAACAGATGTTGGGGGCAGCTTTTGCTTCTGAAAAGAACAGCCCAACCCCAGACAGGGAGAAATTGAGTTGAGTAGAGACAGAAACATCTCACATCAGCACCATGCCTCCCTTCCCCAGCCCAGTTATCCTTGCCACCCCTCTAGCTTTCTCAGTGCAGCACAGATAGCAGAAGACTTTCACCAAAATGATAAAAACAAGAGAAAAGACCAATTTCTAAGCAACAAGAAAGGGAAAATAGCCTCCTCATAAGTTAAGACTTCCCTAGAGCCCTGTAATCTGGAACTCCCTTGCTAATTGGAATGCTCAGTGCAGGAAAGCTGGTACTGAAACCACCAGCACAAGAAATGCAGAGAGAAAAACACAAAGCCATGAACTCCACCCTTTCAAATCTCTTACCAAATCCAGCTGGTCTTTGTTACAAGAAAAAGAGCAGCCAAATATATATTAAACTCAGTGCTTTCTTTTAGATATGTCTCCTTGAAAGAAAATACTGTGCTATTCCTTACTTGGGCCAAAGATAGCCTGGCACTGGGCATCATAGTACTGGCACACGCCGTTGTAGCAGTAGGCTTGGTCCTTGTGGCACGGGTGGCCGTCCTGGACCGTGGAGTCGGGCTGGCAGAACTGGGAGGTGCCGTTGCAGTATTCGGGAAGGTCACACTCGTTGCTACTCGCCCGGCACTCGGTTCCTCCGGGAAGGAACTAAGGAGAGGGGGGAAAGCGTCAGGAAATCCGAATGGGACAGCAGTGAGGAGGCACAGCACAGCCCGAGGGAATGGGCATGGAGCTGAAGGCCTCTGTGGGTGCTCAGGGTGATTCTCAGAGCCAGTGTGGACCGCTCCAGAGCGGCGCTTTCCAAACACACCAGTTTTTGGAGTCTTACCTGGCAGTTTTTACAGCAGTCGCCATAGGCGCACTGAGCTCCCGCCCGAAGCCTGCAAGCGCCAGGCTCGCAGCACGGATCGCTCTCGCATTCCTGGGAATGGAAGCGCTGTGAGTAACGAGGAGCCTCGTCCTCCTCAGCACCCAGACCCCCACGAGGAGCACCCGAGGCTCCACGTGTGGGACCCGCGAGCCGGTCACCTTCGGGGAGCCGCAGTCGCACTCCTCGCCGGCGTCCACCAGCTTGTTGCCGCAGTATGGGACGCTGTAGGTCTCGTCGGGTGTGGGGACGTTGAGCAGGCAGCTGCCCCCTTTGCTCAGCGTCAGCTTCTCAAAGTCCTCTGCGCTGCAGCTGCTGAAGTTCCTGGAGCCCCTGCAGAGAACAGCGCGTCTTTACACCCAAGGCAACTCCCAAGCTGAAAGCAAGGATCATTCCAGCTTTCCTCGGGAGCCCGCTGTAAGATTTCCACAATAGTTTGCAAGAATATCTGCTGGATGGAGGCGACCTGTAAAATAAGGATATACAGGGGGATTGCAACTCTCTGGGAATGCTTTTGCTCTTGTCAAAGCTACTTACGACGCTCCAGAGCTCATAATACAACTGCTTGCCCCACAGTGACAGACTCTCTCGTCATCATGGTTCATTCCAAGGTTATGGCCGAGTTCGTGAGCAACAATCGATGCAAACATCTGTATGCTGATCCTCCCGAACTACAGAAGAGCAAAGCAAACAAAAAAATCAGCAGGCAGCTAATATTGAGAGAGTCAGCGTTTACACACATGCCAAAGGTGGTTCTGACACCACATTAATATGATTTTTAGACCCCATAAGTCATTTGCTTAATCAACATGGGAGACTGTCTAAAAAAACACTGCTTTCCAGCATAGAAGCACCTCTGGGGATCAGTTTTATCTCAACAAGGCTTCCTGGAGCAAAACAGCAGCCAACTCATAACCATTTGGCTGCCCCGTTAAATAATTTGGCGGGGGGACTCTGTTCAGTGTTTACTGGGCAGATATTCAGGCAACAAATACATACTCATAACTGGCACTAAGTGACATGCTTGTTAGATGCAATCTCTGTTCACACATCTTCAGGAAATTAAGAGTGTCCTCACTGCTACATGGAGTTTAACTATGGAGATGAAGCAGATACTTGAGGACAGATTTCAGCACCACGTGCTAGGCAGAGAGTGCAGGAGACGGTAAAAAACAGCGGGATCCAGATTATTTCATGCCAGAAACCGTCAGGAAACCACAACATATTCCACCCCTAAGCCACATGGTCTGTTTTATCAGAGATCCTGCACTTCTGGGAAGAATTCTGGAGTGCAAAAAAAGGCATGTTTATGTTCATAGGATCGCTGATGCTATCTTACCACATTAATCCCTCCTGCGTGGCTCTTGGAGCACACTGTTCCCACATAGGCCATTCCAGCTGTTCCACCAAAGCCCTTCTTCCTAGGGGGACATGGAGCAAAAAGACAGGAAGAGTCAAACAGTCTCATTGCACAGCAACACACAAGGCTTTAAACAGCACAGCCCACCCAGAAAGGCACTCAGAGCGTCACTTCTGCTCGTGTGGCTCAAAATACACTTTTTTTTAAACCAAAAAAGCAGCACTGCCAAGTGCTATGGTTCCTTCCTGCTGTTGCTCTGGTCAAGCTCAGCTTTGCACGAGGGCAAGTCAGGCTTTTGCCCCTGGGCAAGAGAAAAAACTCTGGCTTTTCTCCCACTTTGGGAGGGACTTCCTAAGCACAGGGTTATCTTTAGGAAGTGCAGAGGACACTGGCAATTTGGAAACAGAGCCAAGAGACCCTTGGGGAAGTTCTGTGCTGGTTGAGGGAAGCAGGGAAAGACAAATTAGCCATCATGGGCCAAAACTCAAACCTTGCCACTAGCTTCTGGCCATCAACCACAGAAAATTTGTGCTCCGTTAGACTACAACACTCAGCACCTAAATCTGAAGCTCATTTTCTACAAAAGAAGCCTTAGATTCCAAGTCACATCAATATACAGCCTGACAAAAGTTTATCTCAAATTCAGATGTGAGCTTCATGCAGTACAAAACATGAAGTTGCACAACAGAGCACAAGATGAAAATTTGTTAGGTACCAGAACATCTGTCAAAGAGGAGGGACGTTGAATTCAAGGAGCAGCAGAAAGTTCTGAAAAATTGTTTGACTTGGAATGTTTGCCACACATAAAACAGGGCAGATGACACTGGATTCTCTGGAATTACAACCGCTGCTTTTGCCGGAGTGCAGCCAAGCAGCTTGGAATAAAATACATTTAAAAGCCAAAGGAAAGGGCTGCAGCTCACAGAACAAACTGGGCGCTGTCGTGTCTTCGACGCATCACCAGGTTCTTCTCTCGCCACTGCACGAAGTTGGCCAGCACGTCCCCAGCCCCTCCGTCCGTGCTGATGATGTTCTCGTGCTTCCAGATCTCCAGACCAACCAGCACGATGCGAATATTCAGCATGATGTACATCTGGGGAGGGGAAGAGAGCTAAAAAGGAGCCTCAGGCCTGAAAAACAACTTCTGAAATAGCAGAGCTAAAAAGGAGCCTCAGGCCTGAAGAGCATCTTTGAAATAGTCTACTCAAAAGACAGTTTTCCTGTGATCTTTATGCATGCACAACTATTGCAAGAAACTTCCTGATGCTGTGACACAGGTTAAGTCATCCCCAGATTAATTCCTGCTTCAGGTAGGGTAATTGCAGATGATTTTAATGGTAGAAAAAGCTTTTCTAATGATGTAAATACTTGACAAATGCTGCTGTAAGTCCCTCTAAGTTTGCAAAAGTAAACAGAGCTGAACATCTGCTGCGTGCAGCATCATTCTCCTGCTTAGCACAGCTTTGACTTACACTGTCAAGGAAGTTTGCCAGTTGCACCATGTGTTCCCTCACTTCTGTTTCACTCTTCCCAAAATCCTCAAACTGCAAGAAAAAACAAGCTTGGTCATGAAAAGATGACAGACAAGACTTAGAAAAAGGAAAAACTATTTTAGGACAAAGCACAATATCTTTGCCAGTCTTAGAAGATAAGAACTTGAACCCTTGCCTAGAAGATGCTCATCAAGATGACAGCAGCTTCGTTGCTGCCATTCAGCCCATCAGTCATCAAGGGAAAACAGGAAAGGCAGTTTTTGGTACGTGTTTCCCTTACGTGATTAGAATCTTTGCTGACAAACCCTGAACACTTGACAATTCACTCTTTCTGAAGGGCATCATCTAGGACATGTTTAATCAGTTTTAAGTGAGTATATTTGTACATCCTTCGTTAGTGTTAGTCTTTCATTAATCCATTTAGGAGTAATGAAGACCCACGGGCTTTTCAACTCCTCTCCTGGGGAAAGGAAAGAGGCAACAACCCCTACCTTCTCTTTATCCACAACTATGAACAGCTCCACATATCTTGTTTGATGTAGGACAGCTCTTTTTCTCTGAGGAAAAGACAAAAAAGGAATTTTAGACAATTTCAAGTTTATTAATGAAGTGCAAACCAAGAAACCTCATCCTGGTGTCATCACATTGAGGCTGGTACTGCTGGTGGTTTAAGAGACACATCTGAGCACACTGTGCCAAAAAGAAAATAAGCAAAAAATCAAAGCAACAGCTATTTCTCTGCAGGTGTTTGATGCTAAACTCGAGCTCTACAAGGACCTCCAGTGCTTGATAAGGTATTTTTTGATTTCCACACAGGTTTCTTCTGAAAGACAGCATATGCTTTTATAAAGGAGGGAAAAATAGGCACAGGGGAGACCTTCAGAACAATCTGTTACTCTGAGAAAAGAATAAACTGCACAAGGTTCTGCAGCCCCCCTGGCAGGGCACGGTCTAGCCAGTCCCTGGGCTTGCTGCTGGGTGCAGAAGTACAGGGAAACTGAGTGTTGGGGAAGCAGGATTCACCCAGCTGGGTAGAAAACTCCGATTCACAATCTTTAGGTATGTGTTAAACCCCAGGAAATCTGAGAAGCTGCTTCCATCTTATCAGCTGGACAGTCACAAAACACATTCTAGGGGCTGGTGGGGAAGAAGCAGTGGAGAACTCACGCGCAGCAGCTGGGTCATGCTGGGATAGTGATTTTCCTCTGCCTGTTCCCTCTCAGGGCCTTCCGGGGCTCCTCCGCATGCGCCGGGCTCCCTCTTCACGTTCTCCAGCCGATACAGAAGGTGTTTGGCACCAGAGGAGGAATCCATGGGCTCAATCCCATAGGTGACATTCTCTATTGTCACCAAGCCCCTGAATGTGCAGGAAATTGAATTAAACAGACAATAGTTACCAGGTTTTTATAGCAAAGCAGAGGTTATTCTTTAATAAATGTATATATACATCAGTCCTTGCCTAAAAACGTGCCTGAAAGCAGCCTTTTGCTGCAACTGAATGTGCAGGAAATTGAATTAAACAGACATAGTTACCAAGTTTTTATAGTAAAACAGAGGTTATTCTTTAATAACTGTATATATACCTCAGTCCTTACCTAAAAAGGTGCCTTAAAGCAGCCTTTTGCTGCAGAGGGCCTGCACAAATACCATGTATTAAGCATTTTCCTAAGCCTTTACAACATCTGAGAAATTAAGCAAAAAGGCTTCATTTAACATTGCTACTTTGGCATCTGACATGGCAATGCAACAAGGCACCTTCCAAATGATACAGAAATATCATTTCTCTAAAATAGAGATATGTTAACTTTCTGACCAGTTTTGTAAGATTTATGTTTCAGTTGCAGGTTTTGTATTAGATAACATTTATTTGAAGTGTATCTCTAGCCAAAATAGAAAATAAGCCAAAAAGGGTGCCAAAGTGACTGGATTCCAATAAGAAAATGCATGGATCAACTTTTTTTTTTTTAAAGCAATTCTGCAAATATCTGTTAACTCTACATTAATAAAAGACACTGAATAAAGACTGCAGGAGGACAGACTATTACAGTTTGGTCCCAGCCAATGAGTTTCAGGTTGGTTGGACAATAAACAGGGCAAGATCTTTGTCCCCAGCTCAGCGGGCTGCTAAAAATCCCATGTTGGCTGCGATACAAAAGGAGTTGTTACCTGAGCCCCGAGCACGTGCTGACAGCAACAGCAGAATCCAGGACCCCTTCCACATATCCCTGATAATGGCAGTGATCCTGCAGGAGAAAATAAAATCCCACTCACCTGTTTCAGCCTGGAGCTGGAGTCAGTGCTTGTGCCGCTGATATTAGCACTAGGCAAGCAGGGCTCAAGCATCATCTAGAGACTGGATTTCTTAACTTGAAATGAAGCCATCCTGCTTTGAAGTTTGGCCCTCCACCCTGCTGCAAATATTTTAAGCCTCTCCCTGTCTATTTGAGCCAGCACAACTTTCAGCCTCCAGAAAACATGTTTTAGAGAGTGTATTTGCATTGTGTGTAAGCTCCCTACCAAGGGAACAGCCACCGCCGGCTGTTGTCACCAGGTACCAAGGTGTCCAAGCTTCTTGGTTGCACAGTATATCCCAAAGCAGCCCTGGGAAGGCAGAATGCTTCCATGCCATCCTCTGGACACATAATTCCTCGGTAAATAGCTGTTGACTTCAGTGCTCCATTTGCAAAAACAAGACCCTATGAATCATACAGGACTAACAGTCCCCTTCCAAGCAAGCAAGGCTGATAGAAAATACAGGTACTTAGAAATCCTCTCCTGCTTTTCCTATCACACTGCTCTTCTACAGAAGCAATTAATTTCTCAAAGGCAACCTAGAAAGTGGCCTCCTTGTATGGGAAACAGCAGCTGCAAATGCTTTTTTAATAGGACAGTCCCAAAGCTACACAGATGACAACTCAGGAACCAGGATGTACAGGTGGGTATTTCCTCATAAATGCTTTTTCCCCCACTAAAGGTTCTCCAGATTTGATAACATCTCCTTTTAGCAGCCAGTTAACCATTCCCTTTGACTTGTGGGCCAGTCTGGAAGACTATGGTGTGTATAAGCTAGACTGAGTCACTAAAGAAGCTCCAGACAGCTGCTCCATAAGAAACAGGACTTGGTTCCAGAGGGGGATACAAACACTCCTCTTTATGACAAACCTGCACCACTGCTGGGTAATGAGCTATCTGACAGCTGGGAAAAGATCCACATCCAAAACCAGGGATTCCTACTGGGTAATTCTGCAGCATGTGGAAAACAAACTATCCATTTGTTAACACGACTCCCTCAGATTGTAGAAACTCAGTGTTCAAGTCAACATTAATAAAGGGGTAGAAGGAAAATCTACCTGGACATCTGGTTTTTCAGATTGCAGCTTCCCCTCCTTGCTATACGTGTACACCGTGAAGTCTTGGGGCAGCAGTTCCCTGAGGAAAGGGGACAGAAGGAATACAGAGAAATATCAGGAAATGTCTATGGCACTATATGAGCGCAGCAAGATGACACATTCTCACCTATATTGTCATGAATATGTAAGTTGCAATTTATTAAGGAACAAATTCCAAAGGAAAACCACTATAACTTCACTGGGGAATGGTGCACTCATTAGGAATAATCCTCCTGCAGCAACATCAAGGATATTGATGTGATTGTATTGATGTAATGGGAGGCTAATTAAACCCAGTACCTCATCCAGGGTAAATAAAACAGACAGAAAGCACCAAACTGTGCTGAGCTTCATGCAGAACATGGAAAACCAGAGCAGTGCTGCACGATTTCTCTTTCCTGGTTTAGGAAGAAAGCACATGGGGAAAATCTCCCATAATTTACACTGCTGATCCATACTGGTAAATCCATTGAACAGTGAAGCTCAATTCCCACGTTCCTGAGAGTTCAGGGCTTAGCAAGTGCCAGAAAGGGGTCCCCAGGGGCTTGGACATTTAAATAGCTACTCCCCTCCTGTCTATTTTGAGGGTAATTGTAAGAGAAACTGACTGCTGCTGCCAGTAATCCTCTAAAAGACTCAAAACAAGCACAAAATGTGACACCTACATTCTGTGTTATGCACATTAAGGCCTTGGATATGAAGTCAGCTTCCTCATTTGACACTGAGACAAGCTCAAAAAATTAAGATAATAAATATAACCAGAAGGCAAAAATGTTTACTCGAAATATAGCTCTGTTTGTTTATTTTTAGATGTGAATGAGGGACTCATTGCAATGTTTTCCCAGATCCCTCCTGAGCAAACTACTACTTCCTTTACTGAAAAGGGATCGCCAGGGTTGTAGGAGTTCAGCAAATTTTCTGGCTGGTAGCCAAGGCTGTGTGACTCAAACTGCTTTCAGTGTGCTTTTCTATAGATTTTACAGTATCTGTACCTCTCATAGCTGCTCCCAAGAATCAGGACTAGCATATTTTGACACAGTAAATGGAATTTGGTCATGAAGAAATTCATCACTTACTTGTTCTTTTCTAGATGAATTGTGTACTCTTCTCCCTCTATGGCAATACCATATGAAACCTTGTCCTGGACATCAAAAAAAGTTATGATTTAATCCATGTTAGTGAAAAGAACACTCTCCAGAAACAGCTAAAATGTGGCATCTTTTCATCTGTAATTGGTAAAAAGTCACATGAAGAGAACTATTTCAAAACAGCTTTGCAGGGTTTTCTTATTCTACATTTCTAAGGCTTCCAGGGGGGAAAAATAATATGTTTAGTTACAGCTAGAAAAGGAGAGTTTTGTTCCTGAACATGCAGAGCAAGCCTGTACCTCCAACAGCCTTGTATTAATGCTGCACTCGGTAACTAGGGCCCATAAATAAGCCAGATCACCTGATTGCTGTATTAAATATCACAGCAGGAGTACTAGCTCACAACTGCAATAAACTACAAGGCATTCTTGTTAATATTAAGTCCTGCCAATGCTTGTAAGACTTGGAACAGAAGTCGGGTTAATCCAAATGCCTTTAAGCGTGCAGTCTTTAATTACATAGCTACACCACAATAATTTAGGCTGGGAAATACCTCGGGTCTCTACTCCCTGCTCAAAGCAGGGCCAGCTGCAGAGTTGAGGCCTTTCTCCAGGCAAATTCGGAGTATTTCCCAGGATAACGATCCCACCAGAGAATTTAAAGGCAGTTTTGGATGGACCTTGCTAAGAAGTAGACATCTGAGTGAAAATATTTGTAAAAATGTGCAGTACCTGCACAGAGGAGATGTTGGAGGCCTCCCGCCGTTCTCTTCCTAACCTCTGGGGAATTATAACTTCATAGGAAGACAACAGAGAAACCTCCTGGAAACCTGGAAGGTTAAGAAAAAGTTATTGGATTATAGTGTCTAAGGAAAGAGAACAGGCAGAAAGGCACAAGGAAGGAAGCAGTCCGCAACTCTGGAAATTCCGACTCAAGTCTCCAACCAATCCCAGGCATTTGCTGAGGTCCAGGTCTACGGCGCAGCGTCGAGCAGGTCCAAGGGAGCTCTGTCGAGGAAATCGGCTGCCTGCAGCTCTCTGCCACTGCACAAGGAGCCCTGTCACTGTGCAGGGCAGCTGGACATTGCTGAAACACCCTGCGGCACCGTCGGTCCAGCCAGGAGCAGGATGGTCCCAATGAGCCCCTCAGACAACCCCATCTTTCACCAACACAAACCTGAGGAAGCAGCTCGGCACAAAGAACTTGTTTGAGGACACACAAAGACAGCAGCCAAGTTGGGTGTCTGAGCTGCAAAGCTGCAGATTGGAATCCTCACGGATACGTGGAGTCTTTCCGTGAGCTGCCGGAGGCTCCGGCCCGGAGCAGAGCTCAGCGTGATGCCCTCAGCCCGGCACGTGACAGTCCAAAAGCTCCAACAAAAGCTCGGGACTGCTAATGATGTCCCCGGAGAGCACTGGAGACCCTGGGGAAAGCTAATGAGGTGAAGTGAAGGCACGCAGCACAAAGCAGCCTTCTGCAGCGCACAACCTGCTAAATATCTCCTGCAATCCCCAATTCTCCAGCTAAACAAGAAACGAGCAACGATCTACGGCCGGAGAATCGGGACGTGAGTTTGTGCAGGCACCGGTTTTACCCAGAGTGGGTAAACAATAATAAACTGCACATGCAAATCGAATTCCCAAGGCGCTTGGAGCGCCACTCCCCCCGGAAAGCGGGAGCTCGGCTGTCCTGGGATCGCACGCGGGATTGGGAGCAGCGTTTTACTAGCTCATGGCAATGGAATCGATGAGCTCATCAGGAGAGCACAAGCTTTCAGACCTAGAACCAGGGGGAAGGGAGCAGCTCAGCTCCTGTGAGCGATTTAGCTGTGAAAAAAACAGAAACCACCACAGTTTAGGAGGGAATAACTTGCAGAAATTGCTTGCTTCCTTCAAAAAAATCTCCTTGGGTCCAGCAAAGTGCATTGCAAATTAAAGGATGGTTTGCAGCACTGTACAAAGCCCTGTGCTACCTCAGGGCTATCCTGAGAACATGACCTCAGACTAGCACTTCCAGACAGGACTGCTTTAATCCCTACCTCCGAGGCAGCATCCGAGGCACCTCTGGATGCTCAGCACCATCCAGCTGACACTGACAGGCCCAGGAGAGGGTTAAAACACATTTCAGAAGGCTAGAGAAAGTCCTGAGTTTAGTTTCATTCCTCCTTGGCCAGAAAACAGGAGAGGGAAGGGCTGTTTCCTTCCCTGGGATCAGCCACCAAAAGTACACACTGGCAAATCACTTCCCTACGTTTCTCATTCCCAGCCACGCGTTTCCAGTTCATACCCAGTCCTAAGCTCTAGCAAACTGCTGCGTTGCACTTGTTGCTTCCTCGGCCCATTCCAGAAGTGCCTCTGTTTAAGTGAGGAACAGGATATTTGGAGAGACTCTTGGAGAAGCCCTACAAAAACATCAGGGCACGATCAATCCTTGCAGCACTCCAAGAGCTGCAAGCACCTCCGAAAGCGCTTGGAAGCCCAAGGCAAAGGCGTGAATCATCACACACAGCTAACATAACTGGGAGGATTTTCTGGGAACGGCGTAATCCTAAAAAGCTGCATGTTCGAAAACCAGCAAAAAGAAAGAATACAATTTTCTGGCCAGAACACGTCCCTGCTTTGTGCTCTCCTTTCCCCATTTTGCTACTCTCAGTTTGGAAGGTGATTTGGGAACAAAGCATGCTATTCCTCCAGCCCATCGAAGGGAATCTGTATGGGATCAGCATTTACCCTAGAGAAAAATGAAAACCGTGAGCAAAATGACCCAAATCCTGCCACATTTTGGCCATTTTCAGTCCCATCCAGCATGCACTGCCCTTCAGTGACGAACACAGCCAGACCTTATCGCACACGGGGAACAAAAAACAGATTCAGCCTGACCTAATTAGCACAAGGGAAAATTGTAGCAAGTTCAAGGTAGTTTGTAGCTATCGTGGAACTCGGGCTTTAACTAAATGCTCCGTCCCAGCACGGAAGACACGATCAGAAGCGTTTTGGGATCGAATCTGGATTAAGTGGCTAACTCCTGGGCAAGGTGGTCACTGAGCGCTCAAACACGTACTTTAGTACAAGGTAAAAGTGATTTAAATCATATCAACTAATTCTGAAAGAAAACTAGAAAGGATAGGAAAAAAATCCAATATTTAGCTGGCTTGCATCTAAGACAACTGAAGCTACTTATAAAAGACCTCGCTTTGGGGAAAGTAGAATATAGCTTTTTTCCTCACTCCTTTTTAAAAAGGAAAACTACATCATATTATGGTAAGTGTGGATCTCAAACCTAGTGGCTTGCAGTAAGTTTTCCAGTAGCCTCCAGGACTCAAGGCCTGAGTTTGATGACATTCCCCACACCCAAGAACGTGGTGCTTGTGGCTCATCCTTGGCTGCAGCACTTCCAAGGAGAGCGTATTTCCGAGGTGAACACAGCTACTGCATCCCCTGCACTTACCTCGTCTCATTAGAGGCTGCTTTAATTACCGAGCACCAGTGGCAACTAGGAAGATATGAATCATCTCCCCCTCCTTGTCCTGAATCCACAGGAAGAGCTCTGTGCACCTTCCACAGCACGTGGGAGCTTGGAAAGCATCAAATTGAGTCCTCGTTGTTACCATTTTCCAGGCACTGAGCGGTCAGGTACCTGCTCCACTGCTGATACAATCTGTATTTGAAGCAGGAGTTGAGCTGCAGCCCTAGTGTTTATCCAGCTCTACCCACCCACACAAAACAGTTCACCCCAATCATCACCCTTCCTCAATAACTCCTTCACTCCCTATCCAAGGGAGGTCCTCAGTGCCAACATCACCAAAATATTCCTCTGCCAGGACCCAAACTTGCTCAGTGTCCTATTAGTGACTTTAAACAGAGGATACCCACTACGAGCACCTGCTTCAGTTTACTCTGCTGAATTCCCAAGTGAGAAAGAAAAGTTTCCAATCAAGCCAGGACATCATTAGCAGCACACACAAGGCAATGCTAATATTTTCTTCAAATTTATTCTGTGGCTGTATCCAACCTAGCAACTTCTAACCATGCTATAACTGTAAAGCCTTGGATAAAAATATCTTAAACTCAAGAACTCTGCAAGTTTCAGTGGGCTGCAGTGAGTTTGGGTTTTCTGTTAGCTATTTCAGTGGGCTGCAGTGAGTTTGGGTTCTGTTAGCTATGTTTCAACCAAAAGAGGCACACTGCTAAGATCAAACACTGACTTGTTAATTTAACTCCATTTTTAATTGATTACAAGGTTGCAGGTTATTTTTGTCATCACAAGAGCACGGTTGACTGACATGCAGCTGAGCCTGCCCCACGGCTCATTTACTTTCCTGCCACGGGGCTCTTGCTTCCTGTTATCACCCTCTTACATCTGTGCACACAGCGATGCCCATCTCAGCAGCACGAGCACCTTGCACTTGTCCTTTCAAAACCACAGCAGTAGTAAGATTGACTCTCCAGATTACTGCAAGTGAAAACTTCCCTTTCACTGTGTAAATATTGTCCGAGTGCTTATCAAAATATTTAGAGATTTACCCAAAACAGCATACTAACAAATCTATTGTAAAAGGTAGGACCATCTCCTGTGAAGCCACCAGTTCCAGTCCTTCTGACACCTCCGGGACTAAGCAGTATCTTGCACTTTCACAGTGGTTCTCCAGCTCCAAAGCACCTGGGAACATGAGCCAAGCTCCCCTTCCAGAGCACATTCCTTCCTCTTACTTTCCATCTCCTGCCTCCCTTGCTCCAGCTTCTTGCCTCACGCTGTCTCCTTAAAAGGTAGGAAAAGGTGAACAACTAGCATGGCAAAAGCCACAAACTCATACTTGATTTATTACTCACCAGGAATACTTTTAAGGTTTAAACTGGCAAGAAAGCTACTTTACTCATGGCAAGAGGAAAGGGAGCTCTTCTGCAGCAATGGTTGCTCTTACCTCCTCCTGCAAAACCCAGACCTATGCTGTAAGAGTTTCCTGTCTAGACTCCTGCCATTCCTTCTTCCCTTTCTAAAGCCATTCCCTAACTCACCTGGAAGACCCCTACTACCCTTTGGGGCACTCGAAGTCCCATCACTTGTTCTCTGGTGTTATCACTAGCATCCTTTCCACCTTGGGCTCTTCCTCCTTGTAAAATTACATTCCGAAGCCCACAGGGTCACTCTCATCGTGGACATCATTCCTCCAGGCTCGACAGCCCAGAAGTTCCTGCCCTTTCATCTACGAGGCCCAACGTTGTTTTTGAGGACTTGCATGTAGAGCCCACTCACTTCCTCCGGCCTCGTCCCTTGTGCAGATGTCAACTCCCTTCATACGGTGGCAGTTCATGGGAAAGCTGCTTCCTTGGAGCTGTCACGATCTTGACATTCGGTTACCAAAGGAAACGACGCAACACAAGTTCAATCACAAAACTCCATGGAATGGAGCAAGCACTTCCCTCCCCCCTGCCTTTTTCAGTAGGTTTTAGCTTGAGAAATCATTGAAACAGGCAAAAACTAGAGTTATGTTTCAAATTTCCTCCCCCAAAACAAAAGTACTGGGAGAAGCTACATTGAAATTTCTTTCCTCCTTTTATTCTTCAGAGAGGAAATAGCCACAAAACCTCTTTGCTTCGCTCAACGATTGTCCCAGATTTGCTTGAAAACAGGTGAGGCAGAGCTGTGTTTTCCATGAGCTGCACAAAAGTGTTATCTTAACCAAACACCACAGAAAACTCGAACTGAAGGGCCTAAACATAAAAAATTCCCTAAAAAAAATAGATCATGGCTACAACATCCCAATTTGTTCACAATACATCAAGTAGCAGAGAAGAAAACCAACTACTAAAAAAAACTAGTCCCATCCAAATCAATGCAAGATTGTTCCTGCATGAATTTATATAGCCAAAGCCTGAGCTACAGACCCTATAGAAATAGGAGGTAAATAAATAACCTGCTCCCAAGGCTATAGGTCATTCTATGACATATTCCTCCAGCCATTTCCAATGAGGTGTTTCCGGTAGCGCCTCCACATCCATCTCCTTTGCCTATTTGTCAGGGAGTGCCCAAGGCAGTTACATTCCAAAACCAAAGTGTTGGATGAGTCGGGATCAACTCACACAGGTGACCTGGCTTCTCCCTTCTTGTTCCTGCTCACAGCTGAGAAGATTCACCATCTTTTATCAACAGTTTGGTATTGTTAGCCAAGACAGAAACACCAACAAGTGAAGAGAAACACTGCCCATCAGCCATTAGCATCTGCATCAACCTGTATTTCCTCCCATATTTAGGTAGGACCTAAAAATCTCAGCCCCCGAGATACTGAAAAGCAAGAAATTCACCCAGCAGAGAAGCACTCAGGGTGAGTAACCACAGCAAGAGCATTTTTACCTCAGAGCAAAACACTGGTGTTGAAAAGTATCCCTCAACTAACAAATCCTAACTGCAAAACTCTCCATTAGTGATAAAAGCCCATATTTCTGCTCAAGGTACCACATACAGTGTTAAGAAAACGACGAAAAGAGAGTCCTTTCATACACACATCAGAGGCACCAATATGAAAGCCTACAAATAACACAGTGTCAATTCGGTGTCATTAGGAGCATTTTAGCTCTTGCCAATCTCTGTTTTCCTGTAGAAGAGCAGTCCCTGCTACTGTGTGGCTGTTTCGGTGCAGGTGACAGCTCGCTCCGGCCAGGGGACACTGCCACTCCACGGTTAGAGCCAGGACGATGCTCTGGCCCCCAAATTTGGGGGATATTGGTACCCCAAGGCTGGAGCTCGCCGCGTTCACCAAGATGCTCCCCAGGCAATTCTGCCTTGCCAACACAAAGGGTCTGCCCCACGCGGGCACGGAGCCTCCCCGGCAGGACACAGGTTGTGCCGCCAGCCACAGCGCCCTCCTGCCCGGCCACTTTTAGGCACCGTGACCACCCCCTGCAGCAGCATCCCTAAACCCCCCAACCCACGGGAGGGAAGAGGGGGTCTCCGGCCACGTTAACGGATCCATGGGGGAGGCAGAGGAGGGTTCTCCAAACCCAGGAGGTGACCCCAGGGGCCAGGACCTACCTTGGGAGCAGCAGGAGAGGGAAGGGGGGTCCCGGAGCACCTTGGCCGAGCGCGGGGCCGGGCGCTGCCCACCGGGACAGGGATGAAGGAGGTTTGAGGGGGGTCCCGG